GTGGAAGAAGGGAGTGTGGCTGAATGCCACAAGGGTATTGAAACACCTAACAATATTGAAGACTTAAAAAATAACTTGTTTAATCCTTGTACATACAGGCAAGTAAATTAAGGTATGGTAGGAATATTTTTCTATCATTGTGCAGCGCTTTGCAAGGCCAGTGCTAGAGTTGTGTGCAGTTTTGGCATCCATATTTTAAGAAGTAGCTCTGTGAGGGTAACAAACGAACCCTGGTTTCATATGGATTCGTATCTTAGGGTTTTTCTGGTCACGCAAAAAGTAGAAATGTGACTTGAATTTTTCCATGTTTGCAGTGTTCCTAATGCTCTTTCTTTTCTTGTGAGTCCTTTCCTTTATTGGAAGGATTAAACTCTCAGAACAGCCTTTCTTTCAAAGGCATTGATGGTCTGCTTGTTTAGTTACTTATCTTTCTGAAACTTACAGGAACACCAATATCTGGAAGACCACTACGGTTCTGTAAAATTTAGTTGAAGCTATTGTGCTGAAAAGTCTTTGTCAGTTTGAGGTAAACACATGTGTGCGTACTTATCCAATTCGTATCTGAGGCATAAGCTGAAAAAGGATGCTGAAAACTGTACATCAGTGCAGTGTGGGTGTCTGAACAGAAGAAAGATACTCAAATGGTTTTATAGACGCGAACCTGTGTTTTTTTTAATGAACCTGTTACATATATGAAAGATAATATAGATAATATATCCCATGAGGCATGCATCAAAATGGAACAATATAGGTAAGGATCTGCAGGCAACAGCTGTAAAGCTGGAGTGGTGAAACACACTGGATGAATTGCCTGAAAAGAAGGGTGCAGCTTATGATATAGCAAAGATGCATGTTCAGGGTGCAATCTTAGGTCAACTTAAATTGATTGTGAAACTGTGCTTCTGCTGAAATGGTTTGTTCCTGTCTCCGCTGCACCTTTTTGTCCTCTTCCACATAACAGTTTTAGCAGTTGTGCAGCTATAAGGTGAGATGGATCAGCTTACTTATCCAAGTGAAAACTACTAATTCTTTTACAAATTAGTTTACATTTGCATGATAGCTCCATGATTGCTAGCCCCAACCCAAAGGAGAGGGTGGGAATAAGTAGCTGCTGGCAACAGGTGAGCAAGACAGCTCTACCATGGTCTTAGATAAGCTTACAGAGATCTTGAAATTGCATGCCTGTTTGTATTCTTTGCCTACTTTCATATTTTGAGGTTTTCAGATACAGAACTAATTCTGCAAGTGTTTCCATAATGACCAGCACTATGGAATCCTAATCTTAATGAGAAGTACCTATTGAAAAAACTGAGGAAAAGGAAAGCTGTTGACTGAGGAGATCTTAATAGACCTGAGGGTGGATAAGTCAGTAGCTTGGATGAAGAATTTCCATTGTAGATCTGCTTTATAGGATTACAAGGTCAATTAATAATACTAATGCGTATAGATATTGATAGCAGGAACCAGTTAACAGCAGCAACGCTTGATAGTCTCTTACTGTTTTTTAAGAAATGTATTCTAGATCTTTATAAAAACAATATTATTCTTTGTGTTGTAGCCATACGTAGTTCATTGAACTATGCCTACTTAAAGGACAGTTCCAAAATATAACATAATTTTAAATAGAAATTGTTTCTTCTTACATAAATCCCTTGGGTTATAACTTTTTTTTAACCAGAGACACAATACTCGTCTAGTTACAACAGTCTAATGGCTTGACAGTGCTTTGTGGAACAAAGAGTGAGAACCTACTTTGGTTTGTTTGAGGCACAGGAGGTCAGTCTAACTGGCGAAAAGCCTTGCAGTTTTAAAGGAGCAGCATATGTTTAACTCAGCAGGGGTAAGAAAGTTCAGCTCAGTATTCCTCAGACAAAAGTTACTGTTCATGTAGCTAAACCTAGGAGAAAAGCAGCAGCTGTTTGAGAAGAGTTTAAAAACATAAAGCAAAGCAGAATTTCATAACTTCAGAAGGAGAAACAAATCTCGTTGCCTTTGTGGTAAATGTTTCACTTTCAATCTAAAAAAAACTGCAGACCACTATGCAACGTGGAAGTACGTGATTTTGCCCCCAGTACCTGAACTAGCTCTTCAAAAGCTCTGTGGAGAGAGCAGTTCAAAACTCAGCTTGGCTAATTAAGTACTTTTGAGTAGCAGTACTCAATTACTTAAAATCAATTCAGATATTGATGCTGAAGACCAAAGTCAGAATAGTAAGGGGAGACTTTTAGTAATGGAACTTTGTATTTAGGGTGTCCATCCTTTGTGGGACTCAGCACGAATCTTTGTTGGTGCAATTTTATTGGTATTGTCTGGACTACTTGAAGAATCACACAATTCTGATGTGATTGAGTTTGTACCTAAAATTCTCTAGAAATTCGCCATCGTTGCTGCTGTATTATAAAAGTGTCTCCTTCAATTTAGCACGTAATTAACCTCTTTTAAGGTTTAGAAAGGTCTAGTGCTCAGTTTGTAACAGTAATATGCATATACTTAATGTATGTTGTAAATCAATTGTGATATCACTTTCATTGTCATTGAAAAAAGGTTTTGTAGTCAGAATACTATAATCAAGAAAATCTAAAATAAAGGCTTTCTGGAAAAGTACTCTCAAAATCTGGAGAGGATTCTATTAGTGCATTCATGTTGCATTGTATAATGTAATGCCTGTAAATTTTTCCTAGGAAAATCTTCCTCCTATGAGAGACAGTGATGTGAAAATACAAGTTAGAGCCTGTGCACTGAGCTGGATAGATACAAAGGTATTTACTTAATTTTTATAAAAGCCAGAGGTGTTTACATTTTCTGTTGAAGGTTCTAAGCCAGGGCCTTAGCTGGCAGCTGGCACAATTCCATCCATGCCATATGAGGATATGGCCTTACTGCTGAGAAAGAGGCACAGGATTGGTGTGGTATTCTTGCATATCTCTTTAAATAAAAAGCACCTGTAATTTGGTTCCTAATTTATGGAGAAAGATCAGTTGTCATTTTGAGTTCTCTTACAGTAAAAACCCTTTTATCATCCTCTGCGTGCTGACTTTAAGTCCCAGTTTGGTTTGGCAGTTAATGACTCTGTTTTTAATTTTTCTTTTATATGCTTTTAAACTTAAATACAGAAAACCATTTCAAAATTTTTAACATTGAGGAATGTATGGGGTTTTTTTTTTTTTTTCAGATAACATTCTGTTAATGACCCAATTTCTTGCATAGTCAAACACTATAAGGTAATAAATATGCAACACTTGAGCCTTGGTAAGAATTTATAACCATTATTTTCATTTAGCTTTTGTCAGAAATGAAGTTGAAGAAGGAACTCCTACCTGTTGGTCGAGAAATTTCTGGAGTTGTACTGGAAGGTGAGTCCGTAAAATTGTCTTGTGAGGGTTAAGGGCAAGAATTAGTGTGCTAATCTAGGAGAAGTAAGTTGTCTTTGCATGATATGCCTTTAATCGTAGGAGCTAGTGTTTGCTTTCCTGATGAGCTTTTCCTACATCAGTAATGATATACAAGTTGAAAGTAGGAAAGGGACTGAACTGTAACACCTGCATATTTGCTCAGGGTAAAAAGGCCATGCACAGCAGCCTTCTAAATAAAATATACTAAGATTATATTTGCTTATCCATTTGAACAACCTTTAATTTATTTTTGAAAATATTTCTTGGAAGAGTGAAGACAAAATAACATTCAGGAATTTAGGCAGCCTTTCACTTGTATATCCACCTTTGACAAGTTGTTTGAATGTTAATCTTTCAAACACATACTTATGTGTACTAGCATATACTGTTTGTAAATGTTAAGTAAAAGATTAGTCTTCAGTATGTAAACATTTAATAGAAGTAATACGTTTTTCACTAGCAGGATGTGTTTAGTTTTGTAAGCTAGTGATACAGACCGCTCTCAAATGTGTTTTCACTGTTGCCTATGAATATTTATGTTCATTCCTTCTTTCCTTATACTCATGTATTCTTCGTAAGTTGGAAGGAAGGTGTCCTTTTTTCAGCCAGATGATGAAGTAGTGGGTAAGTTACTGCTTGTTTGCCTTATCAACTGACATAATTAGTAGTCTTTTTCTAATGAATGGCTCATTACTAAAGCTACAGTTAGACATTTATTTTTCTAAGTTCCAGCTAGTGTCACATGAATAAACTCCTGTAAATGAGAATTCTATTTTAAAGATGTTTTCTTAAGGAATTTTCTTGAATATAAGAGAAGTTCAGGTCCCTGGCTCTTCTAATCCATCATAGTCCTATTGCATTCACTGAATATTTAAGACTATACACCAGGGTACAATTAGCTGTGCAAAGTGAGTGTTTTAAATACAACTTTTGAATAAATACACAATAACTTGTATTTATAGCGCTACCCTGATTGTAATTAACACATTTTTTGTTGTTTTCTATGGATGTATGAAGTTTAGGTTTATTTACTGTCTTGAGTGATATAAAAAATACACAGTTAGCTTCTAGTGGTGAATATCTTGTTCCAGCATAGAGAAAACTGTTCACTTTATTCCAAGGCATGTCCGTTTCTGATTCAGTGAAGAAACGGTAGGAACTTAAACATGCAAGTAGGTTCACCACTTCCAGTGGATTTTGAGTTACTGAAAGCAATGCGCATACTCGGGCATTTTGCTAAACACGAGGACACATTTAAGAAGAAGCCTTGATTCAAGTTGCTCTTTAACTAGAATCTTGATTTTTATTGCACTTTAGAATTAAACATTTATTATATATATATGTTTTAACCTGCTTATGAAGGTGGACCTTCTCTCCCACCTCCCAATTCTAACCTTAGGGAGCCCTTCTTCGTGGTTTGTCATCCTGCTATGAGGTTATCATCAGAGAAGCCCATCAGAAGGGCAAATAGTAGTCACTGGTTTGGGTTTTGTTTTTCTGTTTTGTTTTTGTTTATTTACTTCTTTTTATTGCTCAGAACCGATTTCCAGGTCAAAATCATGTGCAAAGTGTTGAGGGTTTTTTGTTTCTGGAAGGTCTTTGGTAGCTTTTTCGTATTATTAGCTTCAAATTTAATGGAATAGGATGGATGATATTGTTGATTCACTGTAGAAAGTGTAATCCTTACAGTCTGGGAATAATATTCCATTTTACAGAGTGTAAAAATCACTTTGTCTAACAAAGTAGAACAGTTAGGTTAGGTAGTTCTTAGGTCTTGCAAATAAGCACATGAATACCTTCAAAGTATGAACAGTATCACTATTGTGAATACTTTTGCTTGTTTGTTTAAATATATTACTGATATATGCTGCATCTGTTGAATATTTTTAAATAATATTTGTGTTTCAGTCACCGTCTGTTATAGCTTAAGGAATGCAGCTTCAGTGAGTAGTTAAGGAAAAATTCTCTGAAAATCTGCTAATGGACCTGAGAAAGCCAAATGACATTCTAAGTGACTATTTGGGAGTTGGGATTTTGGGGGGGGGAACTGGGACTTGATTCCATTGTTGTTGATTCAGACTGATTTATTCCATTTTGGAATCAACTTCAGTCTAAATCTAACATTAAAGGAGTAGAATCAGGCATGGAATCAGGATCTGGGTCATGAAAGAATCAGATTCCTTTTGTCTTTGAGACTTCTATTGTATGTTTTTTTTATTCTTCTATACTGAACGCTTGCAAATGCTAGTGCAGAAGAATCTGAGTTACACTTACGGAAAGCTGGGCAAGAGGAGGACAAAGAAAAAGGCATTAAATATTTCTAACCCTAACAGAAAGAATACTCAATTCTCCTTTTTTAAATCCTGAAACCTCTTAGCCTTCCCTTTCAAAGCAGCTGTTCATCCTTATGCATCCAATATTGATACTACAAAGATGAAAGACGGGAGTGAAATATTGTCTCTGACCGTTTTCTCTATAGGAAATCTTTCTTAACAAATGCACTTCCCAGTTGCTATTGCTGTGTGTTCAAGCTTTGTTAACAAATGGGCAGATCTAAAATGAAATAGCTATTGCCAAAAGACTTGGTTGTTCATGTGCTTAATAACATTAAACTGTCCCACAATATATAACTGTCATAAAAATACCTCCACTTGAGCTGCACAAAAAAGCTTAGCCTTCTGTCAAAGAGTATAGTCCTGGTATAGACCCCTTACTGAGCTGGACAGCAATAATGTGGAAATATGGTCGTCTCTTATAAATCTACTCTTATTCATGTTAAAAATGAAACTGCATTTACTGGAACTACCTAGTGTATTAAATCTCTAATCTGCACCTAATATTATCTGAAGAATTGTTTTTCACTTTTAACATTTTTATGATCCTTCTTTAATCTTACAGAAGAGACGGCTGCTTGTTCTTTGTCTTCAAAATGTATTCTGTTATGCCTAATCTTTTCTTTAGCTAAGAAAAAGTGTAGTTGTAAAAACATCAGACTGGCCAAAATCTTTGAGATACATTCTTGATTTCCTTTCAAAGCTACAGTCAGTGTTATTTGTTGCTCTCCAAATCTCTCCAATCAATTATGCCATGTTCCTCCCTAATATAAATCGGGGAATAATACTCGGAGAGCTATATTTGCCATAAATACTTGGAGACATGAACCTAAATGTGAAATGTAGCTGCTTAAGTTTTATGACAGTTAGCCAGCTTGAGTGTCACTTCTTCCACGTGCCCTGTTACTGAATAAACAAGCAGTGAAGGAAAGCCTTATACTATGTATGACAAATAAGATGGAAAAAATCTTATCATGCATTTGACAGAAGTACAAAATAGGTATAGCGTAAATAAAGCTCCACGCTTAATAATGTGGGAGCTTCAGGTGACATTATGAGGTATGCTGACTTAGGGGCAAAATTCTTTAAGATGCTGCATATCTTTCATTTCCTTCCCTCATATATAGGAGTCATATTTTTCTGAATGGTTTCAGAGACTCTGAAATCAGTGTGAATTGACAGCAATGTATAATGGCTCCTGGAAGGCTGTAACATACTGAAGTCTTTAGTGTTAGAAGATGGTATGACTTGCGCCTGCACTTTTGCATCTCTTTGTCAAGAAAAGGAAATGTCTTCGTATATTATTCATTCAGTGTTTTGCACTTTCTATAGTAAGATGTTAAAATGCAAATTTTTAGATGCCAAGGGTGTATTAGTTTACTATAAGGATATCTGGGTCGGTCTTCACATTTGATATATGATATTGTATTAATCATCAAAACCTGAGTAGTGCTTTAGACTGGAGGATTTGTATCTGTAAGGGAAACTTCTTTTCACATGTTCGTATATTAAATTTAAGAAATGGAGAGTGACTTAATTATGAAAGTAAAATAGAAGTGATAATGATATAAGAAAGTGTTCTGCTCTGAGATTCTTTACCTTGCATTATTTCCCAGTTGCACAATAGCTCTTCTGGACTACTTTTTATTATGTAAATAAACCTTTGAGTAAGCTGCAGATATATATGAGCACTGTAGGAAAACTATTGTTGAATGGGAGTTGTGAAAGACTGGCAGAAATTATAGCCAAATTTGCTGAGGATATTAAGCCAAAGCCCCTGCATTTTGCCTGAATGGATTGTAAAATTTGGGTGGGCGAAGGAAACAAATACGGGTTTTATCCGGGAAAGTGTACCCCTGGCACCTTTTCTCTCTCCCTCTCCAGCTGCCTTTAAGCTGTCCTTAAAGCTTCCTTTTTTACTTTTTCCACCTTTCTGTGTTTTGTTTCTGCTTGCTCTTTATATATATTCAAAGCCTGATCTGAGGCCAGAACTTGCTGTTTGTGACTCTCATTCTTTGGTCAGTGAGGGTAAAAAAAGCGCTGTTCTGATCAGGGTGGATTTTTCTTTTCTCCTGTCTGTTCTGTATTTGCTTTGTCTTTCATGTTTTTTTTTCTCCTTCTGTTTCTTCTCTATTCCAGTTTGTTTTTTAAACCTACACTCACTCATTTTTGCTTGTCCTTCCTTTCTTCTTTCTGCCCCTTCTTTGTTGCTCTCTTTAACACACTTAACCTCTTCTCTTCCATCCTGGTGTCCCATATCTGTACTGTTGGCTTGGTCAGTGCCCACCTGCAACATGAGAGCTCAGTTTTCTTCCTTGCTAGCCTTTGTCCAGAGTAGGAAGAGGAGCACTCAGTAAGAGCAGTGTGAAATGAGTTCAGACGTGATCTGACAAAGGTCAAGGGTGCCACTAGCAGAGAAGCAATCAGTGTTGTCCTCCTCCTTTATCCTGCTACCTGCAAAATGCTGTTTGGAGCACCTGTAGCACCATCTCATGCACTGTGGGTGCAGAGATTACAGGCTCTTACCCTCCAAAGTTGTTAACCTGTCATAAACTTGACAAGAGAGCAACTGAACCACAGACAAAGTGGGACTAGCAGTTTAGATAGGAGCACCTGTCTTGTTTTGAATTAAAGACTTAAGTTACATTTTTTTCAGGAATTTTGCCCCTGGATTCTGAAGAGTCTGGTCTTTGTGAAGTTATTCTAGTTCATGAGCATTATTTGGGTATGTAGTCCATGTATTTTGCTAATATTTACATTTACTGCATATTTATAGTTCAGTTTGGCTTTTCTAAGGGGGAGGAGCAATTAACTAGGCTTTAGAACAAACTTGCGTTCTGTAGCAACATTCAGGTGACCTGTGTACTCCACCTATTCATAGAAGCTTTCAATACAGTGTACTCCCAAAGGCTTTTTCTTTGGTGTTATTGTTCAATGGGTTAATAGTTTGCCTAAACCACATAAGCTGACTCATCGCTTCTTATTTCCTTCTCACTTCCCTTGTTATTGCTTCATTTTCTCTTTCTACTGACTCACCTCATCTGCTACAGAGTTAAGTATTTAAGATATTTGTCATTCCTTCCCCCCTTCCCCCCATTTTGACCCAATTCAAGACCATCATCATTTCTGACCAGACTAAAAGTTGGGATAAAACTAGTAGCCCAGAAGCTGGAGAAAGCAATTTTCAGGGAACAAGGACCAGGGAAACCTTGTGCTGAATGAAAAATAAATTTCAATTACTGTGACTTCCCAGTTTCCCCTTTCTTGGGTGGAGAGTGCTTTAATGGGTAGATCACTGAATTTGGAACCTTCTTGATTCTCCTAGTAGTTTGTGTTACCTTGAGCAAGCTACTGTCTTGCCAAAATTAATTTCAGTTGTGTTTCTGTGATTCTATCCATGGAGACAACCTCTACAACTGTGGTGGGAATCCTTTGAATTTGTTTATACTAGTGCTAAATCACTACTTCTACTATGTAAACCACAGTAAGGAATAAATAAATGAATCTTATAAACATTTTTTTATATATTCTAGTTGTAAACTAGTATTATGTTGATTTGCTTGAAGACTAAATGTTGCTGGCTGGCTATGACACTGTTTCTGCAAAATAAGTCATGAGCTCAAGGAGATGAAAAATGGGGTTTATTCTTTCTAGCACTTAAAAATGCAAATCAAGCAAAACAAAAGCTAGAAGACTGTGCTGCCTTCTAACTAGATACAGAGGCAGGAAATAGTTTTTACTACCTTCCCCCCGTGCCCCCCACCTTGAATACCTTACTTTGTGCCAAGGAGTGTGTATTGACACACAAAGTGATGATGAGCCTAGAATTCTTTTCCAGCATACTAATAAATGATCCCAGGTGATCATTTATGTTGTTGTAAAGCTCCCTTGATTCAATCCAAGTTGTCAATCCTTAGGTTTAAAGGGGACAGCCCAAACTTTTGCTTTCTAGCGCCTCAGTAGGATGGTACTTAGCCATTTAGTTCTATGCCAGACTTTTCAGCTGGGCTATGATGGTTTTCTAGTTCAGTATCAAGCTCTCCTCCAAGTCATGTAAATTGCCCACATTAAAAAATGATGTTTGAACTCGGTATTCCTAGTTGACAAAGTACTTCACTAATGTTATCTCCTCAGGCTTATAAGCATGTGGATAGAATGGGAAAACTCTTAGCAGTCTTGTAGGTAAGAGACAGCAGAAAACAGAGATGACAAGTAATGCTATATTGACTTTTCTCTCTGCAAACCTCCAGAAGGTATTTGTACCTATATGGATTATGAAGTGAGCAAAGGGCAATGCTTCTGACCTATAGAGAGAATTACAAACTCGTGGGTTGGATCTCACATTGTTTAGCCTTGTGTCAGAATCCTCATTATGAAGAGGAGAGGTGACCTCATTACATCTCTTCTGTCAGGAGGTTATGGTGGGAATGGGATCTCTTTTTTTTTTTTTTTTCCTGTTTAAATGTTCTATTTGTATTTGAATTAGCTCACAGGAGTGCTGCAGAAGCAATCTGACTATTCTTAGACTAGCAAGTGCCTTTCTTCACTTTGACTCCATCTAGCTGCCATATTTCATAATTTTATGTATATTTAATATATATATGCACATAATTTTATAGTCTTACAATAAGTCATCATTGCTATGACCCGCAACATTGGAATACTGCCTTTGTGAAATGGATACATAATGATACTTGCAGTTGATTTGAATCTTACGATTTTCTTCCATGTTTTAGACATTGATTAAGATTAAAAATTATTCTCAGTGAAATGTCAGGGACTTGCTTCTTTTTTTCCCCACCTGTGTTTTTTTTTTTTTTTCCTGAAATAGTTCGTAAGCCAGAAAAAGTCTGTTGGGTTGAAGCAGCAGGAACTGTTCGTGATGGTGTCCGAGCATACACAGCTTTACACTACCTTTCCCAAGTCTCTCCTGGAAAGACTGTACTTGTAATGGATGGAGCAAGTGTAGGTAACAACTATGCAATAATAAAACAATTTCTGAACAGATTACCTCTGCCATAAGCAACAGTCATATAATCAGAAATATTGGATTTGTTATGACATACTAAGCTTATCAAGCCTGATGTTCTGCTCCTGGCATTACCCTTAACTTAATGAATTAATAGGAAGGGCCCTCCCACGTAAGATACTAAGCCAAGAATACAGTCCTTTACAAGTTTTACGGGTGAAAAAGAGGGAGTTCTTTTTGCTGTTTTATAGTAAGGCCTCAGGTGCAACCGGAGAAAAGTACAGATCTTTACTGCAGCAAATTTAACATCTTAATTAGCAATAAAGATTTCAGTAATGCAAGTGAAATTACTTATATCTGAGAGAAGTTCAAAAGGCAGTGGTGGGAAAGGGAAGGAAAAATTAATGTAATGTAAATGTGGCTGGAGCTTTCTTGGTAGCACTTCATCTTCAGCAATTAAGCAAGCCCAGAGCTAGAAATTATAACTGCAGTTATGGTACTTGCATTATTTGGAGTAGAATGCAAACTATATTGTTGAACAAAAGAACTAGTTAATCTCCTAAATGTTAGATCAGAACTTCCCAGTCAATGAAAAGACTTTCTTTGGCTTCAGCTGGAACAAAAGCAGATCCCTGAATATTCAAATTCTTGATTCAGATGTATTTTATGAAAAGACTTAAGTTTATTACTGGATACTCCCCTACCATCTCCTGACTTCCCTTTGCACTGTAATCTTTAACGGTATCAAATTGTTGCTGTAAATGAATTGGTCTATTTTCTTTTTCTGCAGCCATTCGGTACAATAGCAATTCAGTTAGCACAGCACAGAGGAGCTAAGATAATCTCTACTGCACACAGTCTTGATGATAAGCAGTACCTGGAGAGGCTTAGACCTCCTGTGGGTGAGTTTTATTCTTAAGTGTGAAAGTTTGTGCCAAAGGAGAATTTCTTGATTTCTTCCTTTTCTTTTTTTTTTCCCAGTCCGGAGTCTTACCTCAGTAGCTGAAATCTAAAATACAAACTTACAAATAATCTAAATAGTGTAAATGTTTATTCTATGTTCCATTCGTAGTTATTTAAGTTATATTTTAAGTGTGCTTGATGTCATTTTTATCCTTCATTTAAATTATGATGGCTGTCTTACAGCACTTTCGATCTGGCAAAATAGTGCTCTAATGCTGGCTTTTGGCCTAACTATTTGAGCAGTCTTTTCATTTTTCAAATAAAATGTTGCTTGTGAGCACTAAATTGCAAGTATTACAGCATGTAATCTACATACCTGAGCCAGCATTTCAGATGTAATCATGTACTTGGCATACGGTATTCACTGGACTTAAAATTATTTCTAATAGTGTTTTATCAAGCTCTGTGGCAGCTCAGTTTCAAGTACTGTAATAACTGTAAAACAATGCTTGTTTTACTGTAGTTAGATGCTCAATGACTTTGCTGGATTTTCATATGTTCTGAATGAGTTTTGCATTAGGCACCTTATGTACATTCAGCTATAAGTTCTTTAGCTTCTACTTCATGATATTTGTAAGTTGTTGGGTTTTTTTTCTTCAAAATAACAGTACTGTTTGGAATGTGCGAAAAGACTCTAAAAGTTATTACCCTTTTTTCCTATCAAACTTATTTTTCTAGTTTTGACGCGGTAGAGCAGAGTGAGGTAGAAAATTTCTTTATAAAGAGATTATCCTTAAATAAAGGAAGCTATTGCAAAGTCCAGAGTCATTGCAGTCTGTGTTCTTCACTGTAAGTGAACAAAAGGTAAAAACCTAGTGTCTGATGCTTCTTCCTCCTCAAATTGCAAGGACTGCTACAGAAAGTATAATCACCTTGTTTAAATGTAATTCTTACTGTGTGATTCTTGTCATTCAGAGAACTGTGTGAGTAACTGTGGCTGTTGCACAAATGCCTTTGAGGGGAGAAGCGTTGTGTAGTCACAGTTACGTCTACGTCTTACTACAACTGCATCGGTCGAAATATGTATGAGTTAAGATATAATCTGATTTAAAAGATAATGTCAAGGTTAACTGTCCCTGACTCTCTCCTTTCTCCTTTGTTTTGTGTAGTAGTATTGTTTTTCAGTCTTGACTTGCCAAATGGAGAGTCACAGCATTTTTTAAAGCTCATCTCTTAGGCTGGGTGACTCAACAACAAGCGTTGCTGATATGCAGGTGCACGTAGTATTGTCCTTGTGTTCTCCCTCCTGGCTCAAGAGTACTAAAGTGGCAGAGGAATGAAATAAGCCAGAGAGCTGCTCTTGAGACACTGAGAGAACAGGGTTCTTGTCAATTTTAATTCCTTTCTGGCTCCCAAGAACAGAACTGGCAGTGGAAGCACAGAGACAACGTAGTGTGTATGTGCATTCTGGCACTGCACGTTCACACACATCTGCAGTGTTGGGGAGTGATTCACTTCTAGCCTACCAAGTGAGCGTTTAGCTCTTCCAGTAGTCATTTTGGAGTGCTGATAATGCAGCAGGAAGCAGAGTGCTTTGCAGAGGTTGTTACACAATAGGAGGGAGAAAGACATTTTTGCTGTCTGACCTTAACGATCTTGAACAAGGAATTGCAAAGTTCTGTGTTGGGAATGTAATCGTTTCTTCTAAGACCTCCACAGACTTATATGCCTAGATTTTTATATTACCTATTTTTTGCAACTTGCCAAAAGGAGCTAAATTTTGTTCCTCTCCTTATTCTCTTTTTTTCGGGGGGGGGGGGTGGTTAGGGTTTTGGGGTTTCTTGTTTTTTGTTTTTTCCTGTAACAATAGTACAAGGTTCACAATATAAAGCATTTTTTGTGAATGCTGTCAATGTTTAGGGGTTTGTGATGGCAGCTGTTACAGGGATAAAAAGTAAATAGAAAAGGCCTTGTAAAATTTAGCTTGGTAATATTTTATGGGTGTATTTTGCTAATAGTATAAGAACTTTATTAGTTAAGAAAGGACTTTGCAATTAACTTTTTATACATAAGGGTAACTTATTTTATTATCCTAGTCCTGCCAGCAGGTATGAGTAACTTTTGCTTGATATATTTAATTTTATACTGACATTAAGTTCTATGAATGTTGATATAAGTAAGCAAACCAAGCATTGCTAGATATATCTAAGTCTGCTTGCTTTTAACGTCCGTGGGTGGAGGTTTTTTCAGTTTGGGGGTTTGTTTGATGGAGCTTCTTGTTTTGTTATTAAGTATGAGTCTGTCAGTTGTCATTGAGCAGCAGCTTGTGGTAATAGTATATAGCATAGCTGTCTGCAGTAAAAAGGCCATTGCCTATATTGCTCCTATAAGGGTTTGTTTTGCATCAGTAGGCATTTAGCAGTTTTGTAAATATGTGCGGAACAAACATTGGGGGGAAAAAAATTAATTCCAACTTCACTTCAAATAAAAAAATAACTTGGGTATAGCATTCAAAAGAGAAAGAGTTTGAGTGTAGGAGCAAAAGAAATCCTGTTTGTTTTTAATAATATGAATCCAATGGCTGAAGTATAAGTTTCTGTTAATGTTTAAGGATTCTTATTTAGACTAAGGAGGGGATCTTCTCAAATGCCTTTGGTAATCTCTGGAGTAAATATAGCAATATGGAGCAGGGGATTATAATCCATTTAGAAATTTATTTCAGACTGGAAACAATTTGAAATAATTGTGATGAATTCCTATTAAAGAACAGAGAGGGAAAAAATAGCTATGTAGGTTATGGATTTTGTTTTGTTTGTTTTTAAACTAATTCAGTATTAAGCTTTCAATGGATACGTTCCTGGTAAGAACTCAGTTGTGGCTCATGGGTCTCTTGAGACCTCGGTAAACTACCTAGCAGACTTCTTGTGTGGCAGTTTTCTAACTCCATGATAAAAGTTGCTGGGTAAAGGTAAACTGATGTAGCAGCTGTGGAAATACTGATACTTCTACTACTCACCCACAGTAAAAGAAAGAAACTGAAGCCTACTTTCTGCCTGTCAGAAAAATGTTAGTTTAGAACTTGTGCAAGTTACGGAACTTGTAAAATTTCTCATGAAATATTTATATAAATTACAAGGGACCATGGATGATGACGATGTAGTTTGTTTCTCAGCCTTTTCCACAGTGGAGAGAAGTTGTTATAGCATTTTGCTGGGAAGGAAATTAAACAAAATTTTGACGAGTACTGTTTGAACTATTGGATTGACTTGCATAACAAAATTGTAAGTTTTTGCTAAACAGATATAAGGAAACGGTCAAACTGATTAAACTGTTGCCATTCACTTGAATAGTCGCTTTTAAAGTCAATTATTCTTAAGAAGTGAAAGTATATTTGCAGAAATTACACTTTTATACCCCGTCAAATTGCCTTGTTGAGAAAATTAACTACTTTAACTTCAGTTTTAACTTCTAAACTGAAGAAACTAATAGGAAAAGGAAGTTATGGTTTCTTGTTTGCATACAGTCACATGCATTCATGTGACTATCAGATTATGAGCACGTACATTCTCTTTACCCTGATAATTTGACTTCAGTGAAAATATGCATTCAAATTCTTAAGCCTACCATTTTATATTTATGATTCAGTGAGGCTGGTCAAGCACTGGAGCAGGTTGCCCAGAGAGGCTTCATCCTTTGAGATATTCAAAACCCAGATGGACATGTCTGAGTAGCCTGCTGTAGTTGACCCTGCACTGAGCAGGGAGGGTTGGACTAGATGATCTCCAAAGGACCCTTCCAACCTCAACTACTCTGTGATTTGATGAGGAGAAAATGATAAACTTTAGAGTTTTTCTTAGTAGTCTTCTAAGTGACCAGTCTGTTGCTATTTTTTGTTCTCTCCTTTCTCTGCCCCCGCCTTTCCTGTGCTTAAATTGAAGAAGGTATACGGCAGCCTTTAGTAGGTAAGCACACTTTGCAAATTTGATTTCAGTCCACTGTGTCTTGGAAACATGCCTCCAAATTTATTTGCCATTATTTAAATTCACATTTTGATGTGAGAAGTCTTTTCGCTGTTTGGTTTCTGTGTTTGTTCTACCTCATAATTCCTCGTAAGGAAACCCTTAGCTGCTACTTCTCTGCTGTAGTTACTCCTGATGCTTTAGTTTAACTTTGTAGTCATCTGTAAATATGGTATCACTGATGCATGAGAAGAAAATATATTACTGACTTCTGGCTCAGAAAAATTAAGAGGAGGTGTAAAAACTTCTATCTAAATATTTACTTAATACCACTGAGAGCCATTTAGAGGTTAAAAACATTGTGCAGAAATTATATAGTAATCTCTGCTGTGAGATAAGAGAGTTACTAAAATATTTTAAAGATGATGAGTGTTCATTTTAAAGATGAAAAGACTTGCTGGAATTAGAAAAGTCAAGTCAGTGGCTCATTAGTGACTGGGTTTTGGTTGGTTGGTTTTTTACATACTTAACTTTAACTTGCACAACTCTAAAATAACATCTTAACTCTTAAGTGTTCTTAGCTGACTTGTACTCAGAAACAGGACGCCATAGGAGAGAGAAATAGGTATTTGTTTCCGCCCTGTGACGTGGAAGCAAGAGAAGGACTGTGCAGGGGATTGGCAGGAAGAGGCTTTCATGTTTGTTTGGTTTTTTTTTTTTAAAAAAAAAAAAAGATAGCAAAGAATGAACTTATAGGAGGAATTCTGCTTCTTATAATAGAATTCTTTATCCTTTTTGTCATAACAATATTGTGAGTTTTACTTCTGGATTAAACTAATACGTACTTCTAGCGTTGATCTTGCATTGTATTGGAAAATTAAAAATACTGGATAGTTCTTTAGCTTAGCTGCAAATTTGCTCATGATGCTTTCAGAATTAGAAGCTCCTCTCCTCTAAATCTAAACTGTTTTTATTGCAACTTACCATACTTGCATACTGTTCTGTCTAGCTCGAGTGATTGATGTGTCAAATGGAAAGATAGATGTGGCAGAAAGCTGCTTGGAAGAAACAGGTGGCCTAGGAGTGGATATTGTTCTAGATGCTGGAGGTAGGTAACTGCTGAAAACTTGGTCTTCTGAGTAGCATTATGTAATTGTTTTTTGGTTTAGCTTTAATTTCCAAGTAGTTATGACAGCTGCACCACCTCAAAAGATTACATGTAAATTGCTTATTCCCATTTAATTTTGTGTGTACCTTTGCTCAACAGATCTCCTTAAGCAATTTTGATCATATCACCCTCTAGTGGAAGCAACTGCTACTGTTAAGTCAAATTTGCCTGAATTTTTCTTCCATTTACAACTGGAAAAAAATGTCATTTAAAGGGTAGTTCTGTGACATTTTTTTGTTACCTTATTTAATATGAAAATTAGAGCATAAGTCGCTAGTACAGTCAATGTAGAACCTGTATTCTAGAACAGTTGTAATAGTTGACAAGTCTAAAGTAACTATTTTTAGCCGAATAATTGAAGAACTTATTAGAGCTCTACTGAAGAGGTGTTAAAAGAAAAATATATTACATCTCCTAAACGTTCTGCTTTCCCAGGTATTTTCATGAGACTTGCAGCCTAATTTAATTATAGTGCTGCTCCAGAGAGCCATCTTTATTTTTATTCAAACGCATATCTTGCGACTCGTTTGCATCTTAAAATAGGACTGTAGAGAATCCCAAGGTTTGTGGTTTTCAATACAAGAAAAGATAGGCATTTCATTCTGAAGAGTAATTTTTGTTTTCTTCCGAGTTCAAAGGAATTTGTTCTTTTCTTCAGTGAGATTCTATAGTACTGAAGATGAATCAACATTAAAAGCACAGTTGTTGCCTCATAAGCATGATATCATTACACTTCTGGGTGTTGGTGGACACTGGATAACTACAGAAAAAAATCTTCAGGTAAAGATAATGTGTCGGCAAGCTAGTTCGCACCACAGTGCGTATTTGGAAGGGTCTGTAGGATTCTCTCATGGCTGAATGGTCTCTGCTGTTAAATAACGTCAGTTTTCACTTAAGGAAACTTTACCATCCAGAGTATGGGAGGCATTTGCCCCATAACAGCATTAATAAATGTTTTTATTTTTCTTTGCTTCCTGTATCAGACAGCCCCAAAATTGTAGCAGTTGGATAGAAAGTTATTTTAATAGTTTGGCTATACTGACAAATTTTAAAGGATCTGCTTTGTTTGGCTCAGAACATTAAACTGTTTGGCTAGACCTAAAAATACCATTTAAAATTGACTATTACAAGCTGGCTAACTTTTGAGAATGAGCAAGGGTTGGGGTTTTGGGTTGGTTTGTTTTTTACCTTTGTTTAACCTTTTCGAAGCAGTAAATATGAAATAACCCTCCAGCTTTAATCTTTGTTTTTTAAAAAAATACAACTAAATACTCTTTTTCTTTATTTTGTTTAAGCTCGATCCTCCAGATAGCCATTCCCTGTTTCTTAAAGGAGCCACAGTCTCTTTCCTGAATGATGAGATATGGAACTTGTCAAATATACAGCAAGGGAAGTATCTTTATATCCTTTTGATGGTTATTTTGCTTACTAACTAGTAATCCAAGGGGGTGGAACTATAACAGAAACCAGAGTAAGAATACAGTGCAACCATACTGCAACACAGGTTCTTGTTTTAAACTAGTCTCTGCCTTCCTTCTAAGTATGCGGATAAAATGCCTCATTGAAAGTAATGGTGAAAAATAAAACATAATCTGTAGAAGGTACAGTAATTTGGCTCAAGATTGAACTGATCAGTTGAAGATCTAGTCTTACAAGTTTTTGTATCATGCATATAACACTTCAGAAATATCTTTTCTTTATTCTTTAGAGAATTACACAGCATTAGATACATCATCTATAAATCTTAACTTCTGTAGTTAAATGGATTACATTAACATATTTTCATTTTCTAACCTTTCCTTATGTGCAGTATGATGTACAAAAAATTTATTGAGCAAAGATGGTACATGTGTAGCAGGAAGAATGACTCATGCATTGTCTACATTTGGTCTTAAACAGCTGGACTCTGAGCTCTTTACTAGCAGGACGATTTTCAGTGGATCACTTCAGGCAATGGAAGGATTGTCTACATCTGTGGCTTTAAGGACCCTCCCTGTTCTGAACTGCACTGCAGATCATGAGATCTGCTGAATCACTTTTGTGATTAAGCAGCACAGGCAGGTGAGGATTAAGTCATTATATTCCTGAAAAGACTGACTACACTGCAGGGAAGTCCTCCCTCTCTCCCTCCACTAGATTGTAAAGTAGATTAAGCAAGGTGAGGTACACTAAGGAGGTATCTATGGGATACAAGTTATCACAGATACTTTTATATTTTGGTATTTGTGTTGAACACTTAGTAGTTATCCACATGCAAAGCAAACTAACTAAACAGATTCCTTCTGTCGCCTCTTATGGTGTCTTAATAATCACAGTAGCGACGTTATTTTAAGAGTATTTGAAAGTTGAAAGGAAAATCTGGGTTCTTTTGGTTTTTTATATCTGTATGTCTTCTGTGAAATTCTTGAGCTGATGGCATTAATAATAGCATCTGAAAAAATCACAAGGTGATCATATAGAAATGCTTGAATTCCATATGTTAACCAAATTGCTCATACAATGAACAGAGGCATGTTATTTTTCAGTTTCATACAGAGACTAAGTAAAGCCTTGTATACTGCTTTGACATGAACGTTACATGAATAAGCAAATCCGCTCAAAGATCTATTTAAAAAGGTGTACATCATTGCTCCAAGAACTTATGAACTTTGCTCTGTTCCCAGCCTTATTTTGATTTTTACCTCAGGTGTTTGCATCGATGATAGGAACAGTTACCTTATACTAAAATCTGTCATTTTCCTTCTCCAGGAAAAATGTAATTACCCTTCTGATCAGTTACAGTTGTACTTATTACAGGTTGCATTTGTCAATCTTAATCCTTTGTCTGCCTTATATTTTTGTTGGATGTTCTGTTTTTCATTTTTGCATATTATTCCAGGAAAGGGCGTTTCTGATCTATTAACAATGTGTAAATCTGGTGATACAAAGACTGGAATTAAGGTTCACTTTCATTTCTGGCCTAACCCTGTTGGTTTTTTATCAGTACGGGGCTCTTGCCCACAGACCTGATTGTAGAAAGATCGATAGTCTGTATGTACATTGTTACCTTGACAGTCCTCTTAGATACGCATCTTAGAAGATATAATGGAAAAATTATCAAGTAACATTTTCAGGTGAGACACATGCTGAATAGTAGTAGTAATAAAAAAAATCATTAGCAGCAAAGAACTCTTGCTAGTCCTGTACTGCAAATTGATATTGCGATGCTGAGAAAAATGTCTTGAGTAGTTTATATGAAATGACTTATGGTCTATTCCTGTTGGTAGTGAAGCAGGCTAAGCACAAGGAAATTTGGTTAAAACTCCTGATTTCAGTAAAATTGTTTTCTCTGTGGCCATACATTCAGTCGTCATTTAGCAGGCAGCACATTCTTTGCTTGATTGGCAGGGGAGAGCATATATTTAGCTGCTCAGCTCTGTCTGGTAAATGGTGTTGCCTGTACAAAAAGATAGGCTTGTCTAATATTCCTCTGTAAAAAGAGCGGTGGCTTCACTAGATATGAAGACTGCCATGATGAAGGGGAAATGGAAGATCCTTATTCTCCATGCACAATAGCAGTATTCCTG